TTTTTGACCCACCTCCTAGAGGAATGGAAATAAAAACAAAAATAAACAAATGGGACCTAATGAAACATCAAAGCTTTTGCACAGCAAAGGAAACCAAAAACAAAACCAAAAGACAACCCTCAGAATGGGAGATAATATTTGCAACTGACAAAGGATTAATCTCCAAAATTTACAAGCAGCTCATGCAGCTCAATAACAAAAAAACAAACAACCCAATCCAGAAACGGCCAGAAGACCTAAATAGACATTTCTCCAAAGAAGATATACAGATTGCCAACAAACACATGAAAGAATTCTCAACATCATTAATCATAGGAGAAATGCAAATCAAAACTACAATGAGATATCATCTCACGCCAGTCAGAATGGCCATCATCAAAAAATCTAGAAACAATAAATGCTGGAGAGGGTGTGGAGAAAAGGGAACCCTCTTGCACTGCTGGTGGGAATGTGAATTGGTACAGCCACTATAGAGAACAGTATGAAGGTTCCTTAAAAAACTACAGATAGAACTACCATATGACCCAGCAATCCCACTACTGGGCATATATACCCTGAGAAAACCATAATTCAAAAACAGTCATGTACCAAAATGTTCATTGCAGCTCTATTGACAATAGCCCAGAGATGGAAACAACCTAAGTGTCCATCATCGGATGAATGGATAAAGAAGATGTGGCACATATATATACAGTGGAATATTACTCAGCCATAAAAAGAAACAAAATTGAGCTATTTGTAATGAGGTGGATGGACCTAGAGTCTGTCATACAGAGTGAAGTAAGTCAGAAAGAGAAAGACAAATACCGTATGCTAACACATATATATGGAATTTAAGGAAAAAAATGTCATGAAGAACCTAGGGGTAGGACAGGAATAAAGACACAGACCTACTAGAGAATGGACTTGAGGATATGGGGAGGGGGAAGGGTAAGCCGTGACAAAGTGAGAGAGTGGCATGGACATATATACACTACCAAACGTAAAATAGATAGCTAGTGGGAAGCAGCCGCATAGCACAGGGAGATCAGCTCGGTGCTTTGTGACCACCTAGAGGGGTGGGATAGGGAGGCTGGGAGGGAGGGAGATACAAGAGGGAAGAGATATGGGAACATATGTATATGTATAACTGATTCACTTTGTTATAAAGCAGAAACTAAAACACCATTGTAAAGCAATTATACTCCAATAAAGATGTAAAAAAAAAAAAGAAGAAGAAGAATCTGCCTGCCAATGCAGGGGACAAAGGTTTGAGCCCTGGTCCGGGAAGATCCTACATGCCATGGAGCAACTAAACCCGTGTGCCACAACTACTGAGCCTGCGCTCTAGAGCCCGTGAGCCACAACTACTGAGCCCGCTTGTCACAACTACTGAAGCCGGTGTACCTAGAGCCCGTGCTCCGCAACAAGAGAAGCCCCCGCAATGAGAGGCCCGTGCACCTCAACAAAGAGTAGCCGACGCTCGCTGCAACTAGACAAAGCCCGTGCACAGCAACAAAGACCCAACACGGACAAAAATAAAGAAACACATTAAAAAAGTAAAAGTAAAACACTTGGCTTCCTTAAAAAAATAAATAAATAAAATAAAAGCACTGTCACGTTTGGTGTCTCAGTGGAACTTCTCAAGATCTTCCTCTTCTTCCTTATGGGTAAACAGAGTCTGCTCAGGGTTGTGTAATTAGGGAGTGATGGAGTTGGCACCTATATTCGGTTGTCTGACTCAGTAATGTTGTGCTGGGATCTCTCAAATCACTCCTAGGGGTGTTCGTCGTGGTCTCAGGTTGTGATTTGGGTGCCACCACTTATACCCTGTGGGATCCGGGAGGGCCTCCTCTGTGCCTCTATTTTCCAAGTCTGTAACATGGAGATTGTTAGGCTGTATATATGTATATATGTTTGCCTAATTATCCACAATGGGAGAAAACTAATCAGACAAGCTCAGAGGTATGTCAATGGAGAAACATGTTAGAGGCTATACATTTTACCAATTATACCAAATTGTTACACAAATATTGTACATGTGCTTTTAGCAGTGGACTTCAAGCAAGCACTGTTATACAGCAGTTATTCTCGGCAACAAGTTCACTAGAGAATTCTCTTTGTATCCTGAACATTGGGGGCAACAGTACAGTTAGAAGTAAAACAATAATTTTCAATATTGATAGCAAGAAACAGTTCAATTAAATTAGTAGGATGGGTCTTACAGGTCTGGTCTGGGTTTTTGGGTCAGTTGCTTGCCACTGTTGTCATCTTTTTCTCATCCTGGATGTCATTTGGGGATATATTAAGTAAATATATATACTTAGTATATATTAAGTCCTTTCTTAATATAAAAGGCAACAGCCAGCCCACAGCTGCAGCTACTACCTTATTGTCTAGCTTCTTTTTTCACTATAATGGCAGCCAACAGCTCCACAACACACTTAGGGGTGTCTATGAGTTCTCTGTACTCTCCTGGTGGCCTCCATGCATCAAGAATAGCCGCCATTGGGGCCCACATATTAATGGATGGCCACCCATGATTCCCCCCGCAACTTCCCATTCCCATCCCTTATTTCCTGATGTCTTGGTGCTCATGGGAGTTTCCTCGGTCTCCTAGCTGGCTTGCCAATTGTTGGGCTGCCCGCTATAGGCCTGCAAGCCCTGTAATTGCCCAGCCTCAAGACTGAAGAAAGAGGGCTTCCCTGGTGGTGCAGTGGTTAAGAATCTACCTGCCAATGTAGGGGACACGGGTTCGAGCCCTGGTCCGGGAAGATCCCACCCACATGCCGCGGAGCAACTAAGCTTGTGTGCCACAACTAATGAGCCTGTGCTGTAGAGCCTGCGAGTCACAACTGCTGAAGCCCGTGCACCTAGAGCCCATGCCCTGCAACAAGAGAAGCCACCGCAATGAGAAGTCCTCGCACCTCAATGAAGAGTAGCCCCCGCTCGCCGCAACTAGAGAAAGCCTGCACGCAGCAACGGAGACCCAACGCAGCCAAAAATAAATAAGTAAAATAAATAAATAAATTTATTAAAAAAAAAAAAAGACTCAAGAAAGCCTGGAGAGCGACAGAGACAGCAACAGAGACATCAATGGTTCATTAGATAGGGGATCTTACAAGTCTGAAGCAAGGTCCTGGAGACACCCCACCATGTACTGTGGACCACAGGCAGGAAACGCAGCAGTCTGCAGTCCCAGGGGGATGGGGGGTGGGGACTGGAGGCTACCAGTTATAGGGAGAATTGACATCAGGTTGGCTTATCAGTCTCCAGGGGAACCAGCGGCTGGGGCGGGGGGGCAAGCTTATAGGCAGTTACTGATTAAGTCCTGTAATTAAGAGGATTGGATAGTCATGTGAGTCGGGTGTTGGCGAAGCAGGGACTGGTTGAGCAGGGGATGGACGGAGAGCAAGAGAACAGCCATCTTGGGTTGCCTGACCATACAAAGATGTTGAATTGCCTGACCTTAAGCCTCCTTCCCCACTCTCAGATTTTCTCTCTTTCTGTGTGAAATTGTGGGTAGAAAACAGAATGTAAGAATGACAAACATTTCCGCTGTGTTCGCTATGTGCCAGGTCCTATTCTACACACTTTATTTGTATTAACTCATTTAATCCTCACAGCAACCAGCCTCTATGATAGAGGCCCCGTTGGGGCACGGGCTTCATTTTATTCACTGTTGTGTCCACTCCGGGCTTGGCATAAAGTATATGATCCATAAGTGTTAGAGCAGATGAAAAAACAAGCGAAATAAAAAATCCATGAATGAATAGAAAGGGGAGAGAGACCAATTTTCTCCAAATCGAACTCTATGGTCTTCTGGCCTTCTTGAAGTTCATTTGGGCTCTCATTACCTCTCGGGTAAGCTCTAGTGTTTTAAGGAAATTCTTGAATTAGTTCCTCTTTTTTTTCAGCTGCTGTGAAGATATGACTTCTGAATCTTTCTTCTTTCACGTAGCACCAATAACTGAGCCCAATGGTGCAAGTACTTAGATGACAATCGGACATCATTTTTAAAATATTAATTAATTAATGTATTTATGGCTGAGTTGGGTCTTTGTTGCTGCGTGCGGGCTTTCTCTAGTTGTGGTGAGCGGGGGCTACTCTTCGTTGCAGTGCGCGGGCCTCTCACTGCGGTGGATCCTGTTGTTGCGGAGCACGGGCTCTAGACGCGTGGACTTCAGTAGTTTTGGCTCACGGGCTCTAGAGCACAGGCTCAGTAGATGTGGCGCAAGGGCTTAGTTACTCCACGGCATGCGGGATCTTCCCGGACTAGGGCTCGAACCCGTGTCCCCTGCATTGGCAGGCGGATTCTTAACCACTGTGCCACCAGGGAAGCCCGGACATCATTTTCTTGACCCGTACTTAAATAAGAAAGGCTCTAAGGGTTCCAAGATGGTATGTTACTGCCCACATCACTCAGCGTTAATGGGGAGTTTTCTAGGACCAGTTCACTGAGGAAAAGCACAAACAAGCTTGGGCTTAGCTGATGGTATGCTGGCATCAGCTGAAGGGGACAGCTGCAGCACTGTGGCTTCAACCAGGAGGGTGTCCGAAGGACAACAGGCGAGGAAAGTCCTGGGCAGATCCACCTGGATGGAGCGATGGCCAAAGAGGTGGTCTACATTGGTTCATGGACAATAGTTAATGGTTTCCAGGAAAGAAGGTTTCATTCGCTCCTCTGGGAATGAACCTCACCTGAACTGCTAACTGAGATGAAAAGAAACATGAGATGGATAGAGGAAGAAGGAAGTTATGGATATCAACTGTGGCTTTGTGACCCATGATATAACAGGAGCTACAGAAGTTATTATCTTTTCTTCCCTGCTTGCTGCTCATTTGTTCATCTGCATTAACCCCAAATTTCCCTCTTCCTTTCCTCTATTGTGTTATATGAGGAGTACTGGCGGCGATTAACGTTATAATTTGGTCTTTGGGTTACAGAACATCCAGGCAGGAATTAATATCACCCAGAGTGGGATACAGTAGCTGATGGGACTTTAAATCTCCTCTTTTCAGGGAGAGACTGTGAGTATCTTTGTTTGTACAAAGTGGGTTTGCATCTTGTAAGGGCGACGCATGAGGTTTGTTGTTGGTGAATAGATGTTTAAATGTGTATTGAAGGGTATAGATGCTGAAGAGTGGAAGGGGTGAACTAGGCCAATTATCGACCAATTGTTTCTTAAATCCACAATGTCTCTTTTCTACTTGGTTCTGTCATGTCGAGGCTGGGGATCTGCAAACTCTCTTGGAGTGTGGGATCTGGGGGTCCCGGGCTCTCTTGCTAGGTGACTTCCTGTTATCTTCTGCCAGCAGGAGGAACTGATGGGAGATCCTAGGAGAGGAGAAGGAGAGAAACTCTGCTCCTTCAACAGGTGAGATTCCGTAAGTATTCAAGAGTGTTTACGCTCAAGTTAATGGAAGAATAAGAAACCATATTGTCAGCTTTTCCAGATATTTGGATCTTATATTTGAAGTTGCTGACTGACTGAAGTATTGCAAGACCAAATTACATTGTATTAAAAAATACAAACATCAGTATGTAATCACTATCGCTAATGTCACTAATGTCACTAACAAATTTACCCTGGAAATTCTGACTGCTCTCTCTTGAAAAGCCTGTGGAACATTATCCTCCGTGTAGGTCACTGGGCATTCCTGATTTATTAAAATGTGTAAAGAGAACGTGCATTTTTCTCAGTGGTAACATTAGGAACCCCTTTGATCTCCGTTGACTGTTCAGCTGAAGGGATTTGGATATCTTTGTTGTCATCAGAAAAGACAAAGAGTTGCCACTGTTTAGTAGCTCTTTGCTCTTTGGCCTCTTTAGCTAGAACGATGGAGTCTTTATAGGGATCATGTGTGAATACTTGGTGAGTAATTCTGTGTCTTAAAGATATGTGAAAATAAATTAAAAAATAATTTTTTGGTTGCACAATATGGAGGATGTACTAAATGCCACTGAATTGCACACTTTAAAATGGTTAATTCTGTGGTATGTGGATTTTACTTCAATTTTATTTCTCTTGAAGTATCTGTTCTTTGCAGTGAAACACTTCTTTGGCTAAAGTTTTCACCTAGATTCAAGGATGTTTAAAAGATTTCGCATTGCCTGCTTCAGTTTATCCTTATGCTGAGACTCATTTCATAGTTCTTAGGTTTGGGGTAGCTTTGTTTTCAGTGAAGCTCATGAGTTTTAATCATTTAATAGATGAAACATGATGTGGAGGACTTGTCTGCACTGACCATTTAACCCAACTATTTCAAGAGGATGCAAAAAATTGAGAAAAACACAAAGATGTCTCAAGATGCTTTCTTATGCATGCTCAGAAAATTACCAATTTTAAACTTGCATGAAATCATTAAAAAGGAATTTTGGGGAAAAAAACTAAACTGTGCAAGAATTTGTTAAGATAGTTATAATGAAATATTATGACATGAATGCAAATAGCTCTGAAGCTTGCTCTTTATTAATTTTATTTTTCAGTTCCTGTCTCTGCGAATAGAAGATTGTTCTTTTTACGAAGTAAAGCCATTTAGAGGCCCCACAGGAACATAATGTCCAACGAAATTAGCATTGTTCTTCTCCATATGTTGTTGAAAATTTTTCTAATGTCAAATTATGAGGACTATCATTGTAAGTTTGTTTGGAAATTTTAACTTTTATATATTGGCAGAATATACCCTTTGTTTCTTATATTTTTATCTTTAATTTAGATATCAAGTTTCAAAATATATAGCACTTTAAAATAATTAATTAATTAATGTTTGGCTGCGTTGGGTCTTCGTTGCTGCGCGTGGGCTTTCTCTAGTTGTGGCGAGCAGGGGCTACTCTTCTTTGCTGTGCACGGGCTTCTCATTGCGGTGGCTTCTCTTGTTGTGGAGCACGGGCTCTAGAGCGCAGGCTCAGTAGTTGTGGCACGTGGGCTTTAGTAGTTGTGGCGCATGGGCTTAGTTGCTCCGCGGCATGTGGGATCTTCCCGGACCAGGGCTCGAACCCGTGTCCCCTGCATTGGCAGGCAGATTCTTAACCACTGCGCCACCAGGGAAGTCCCTATAGCACTTTCTTGGCTTGATCAAAAACCATATTTCCTTAATAGTGATGGCAATTTTTATCAAGAAAAGCTCTTTTTATTGTATGTGGGAGGGAGGGTCTGTATCAGACTTTCTCTCATTTCTCCCCATTTTTACTGCTTAGGTCTCTGACATAAAGAATAAAAATCAATTAACATTATTATTTTTAAAAAACTTCCAAGGTCACCTCCTTTAATTGAATTGAGCAAGGTCCAATTCATTCATGTAACTGAGTTTTGTTTTTAACTGTATCCTATTCTTCACATTTTACTAATTTTTCATGGGAGCTAATTTGTCATGAATATGTACTGTATTAGTTTCCTATTACTGCCGTAACAAATTACCACAAATTTACTGGCTTGAAACATCACGTATTATTGTCTTAAAGTTCTGGAGGTTAGAAGACTGACATGGTTCTCAAAGATCAAGGTGTCAGCACAGGTACGCTCCTCTGTGGAGGCTCTGAGGAGAATAGCAGAGTGGAAACCCTCCTAATTCATGGCACATTGAACAGAGTACTCAGGAGATTCTTACCTCAGTAATGGAGTAATTAACTTTCCACTAAAGGCTGTTCCATGTTATCAACTTAAAAAAAAATTGAAAGAATCACACTGTTTCTAAATAACTTCATCCCAGAACAAAGCTTAATAATATTTATAGGAATACAAAAATATCTAGCACCCAAGAAGATATAATATTCACTTAAAAATTCCAGTATTCTGGTGGTATTCAATCAAAAATTGCAAAGCATGCAAGGGAGCTGGAAAACATGACCCAGGGTGAAGGGAAAAATAAATCAATAGAAACAGACCCACAAATGACCAGATGATAGAATTAATAGACAAAGCAACAGCTAATATAACTGTTTAATATGTCCAAGAAGGAGAAGACCGAATCTGTTCCGTAGAGACAAGGAAGATATAAAAAAGACACAAATGGAAATTGTATAGATAAACAATACGCTGGATGGAATTAATAGCAGATTAGACACTGCAGGAATAAAAAAAAAGGCGTAAGTACAAAGGTGACCACCAGAACAAAAACATGAACCTTCCTAAATACCAAACATATTTAAATAAACAAGAGTAAAGAATGCACATCTTGTAGAAAAAGAAGCACAGCAAACACAATACACATCATTATAAAATATTACAACAGATTTGAGACCAAACATATCAGTTACATCAATAAATGCGAGTGGGCTTAACTCACTAAAAGAATAAGACTTTGGGTAACAAAACTAGACCCCAAATAATAATTCAGTTTCCCTGGTGCAAACAAGAAACATACTGAAACATATTTTTAGTTTTTCTAAAAAGATAGACAAAGGTATATCAGACTAGTGGAAAAATGAAAGAAAGAGAAACATAGAAGAGATCAAGACCGAGCTTTTTTCTTATACTTACTTATTTTGTGTTAACTGAATTTTTAACTTTTCAGGTTGACCAATGGACATATAAAGTTGCTCTGTTTTTGTACATGGCTACACTCCCTTTGTGATGTCCTGATAGACTGTAATAATTAGAGCTATTACTTAAAAAACAGTTATGAAACGCCAGGCACAGTGCTAAGAGGGTTTTACTTACACATCTCATTTAATCTTCAAAACAATCTTATGGCATTTATGTGTTATTATTCTCAGTTTACTGTTGAGAAAATGAAGGGTCAGAGAACTTAGGTTATCCAAGGTCATACACTTGTAAGTGGCGTAGCCTGTCCTCAAGCTCGTCTGTTTGAGTCCATTGCCCTGGCCTCAGTCAGTACACACTGCCTTATCTATTATTAAGTCCTGATGAGGTATTTGAAAAATATTGACAGGTTCCTAGAATGCATGATAAACTTTATGTCACATATAAGAATACCATTTGTCTTAGAAAAGACTTTAAAAGGTCTTTCCTCTTTACCTTTTCTATTTTTAATAAAGAAAACCTATCAGAAGAAAGGGGCTGATTTACATTAACCAACCACTGCAACAGAAGTTACTGTATAAAGTAGAAGGTTACTCCAGGATCCTAAATTAATGACACCACTTTATATATGTATATGTATATTTCTCTCTCTATATTTCCCACTTAGAGTTTCTTTGGTCACATAATGAGCAGTTAAGTGATATGTTTCCTAAAATAATTTAATGTTATTATAAACTTGCTCTACTTCTTTGAACCGAACAATTTCCATGAGTTATGGATCCCAACATGAATTGTATTTGTATTCTAGACCTGAGGGGCATGAATACACTGATGCACTAAAACATACACAGTAATGAGGACAACAGCAGTGAAAGCTTTCACAGGGCTGTATTCATATTAACTTAATTTAAATAGATAATATCTCCATTCGCATAGGAATAGTAGCAACTTTATTTTTAACTGGATTTAAATTCCCTAAAAATTTTAGCAACATGCATGAGAATTTCTGGCCTCAAACTGTGTGAGATAATAAATATTGTGCTAAGCTGCTAAGTTTTGGGACAATTTGTTACACAGTAATAGATAACTAAAACACTGAGATACAATCTACATCAGCTAAGTAGACTATACAGAAATTGCTGGTCGCCATGGCAGGACATCCTAAAACTTACCGAGTAGTTCTAATTAAATCAGTAGATAATAAATTGTTGGAGACAGAATGTCTCATGGCTTATAGAACAGTACCTTGAAATATAGCTTCGACAGTGGTATTAAGCATTTACCCATCACTGTCTCATAGGGAGAGAACCACTAAATCTGGTTATGGAAACAAGCAGAACCCTCCCCCACTCCCCAAGTACAAAGGCCCCTCCATGTTCCCTGCTTCTTGTTTGTAGAAAAGCTGAAGTCTTCCAGGCCTCCCTGGGTCACAAAAGAGTGGGCTCAAGCAGCTAAAGATTAGGACAATAGAGTCACAGATTCAGTGTCTGCTGCACATTCCTGAGTTGTTTTTACAGCTATTCTAACTGCCACCAGAGGGAGAAGCCAACTGCATGATGACCAGACTGCAGCCATGACACAAGCTGCTCCATCTCGAGCAATACTGAGTCTAGGGCTAGCACAATTCCAGGAACTGGCCTTCAGACAATGGAATTAACACTATTGCTCATAATAATCTATATCTTGGTGGGCATCAAAATAATTGTCGCTTGTTTTACACATATACGTAAGTGGGCAACTAAAACTGTCAGAAAAGAGACGCTTCAAACTCATTTGATATCTTTCACACTAAGACCTCGACACTTTCTCAGCATGAAGAAGTTACAGAAGCCAGACCTTCATCCCTAATTCCATGGCAATAGAATGATATCTGATGAGGGAGGGGATTTGTAAGCAGCTCTTTGCCGGAAACTGCCCTCAGCAGGAAAACCCTTTTCTTGTCAATTTAGCGAAGCTATATTGTAAACTAACTTTTAACCAGGCACCAGCATGCTCTACTCATCTCCTGCCCTAGCAAATCTCTTGATCACACAATACTTCGCCTACTCTGTCGGTTCTTTCCGTAGATCAAAGAAGTAGAAATGAAGAATAAGTAATTCACAGATGACCAGATCTCTTCCCCAGCTTCCCCTTCAGTAATCTCATGAACAAATTGTGTGAACAGGATAGCATCTAAAGAAAGAGCACAAGAAGTCAACAAGCCTACGAGTCTGACCCCCATCTCAATGATTAACTGAGATGACTTCCCCTTTGCCCTTTAAAATTTTCACGGCCGAGCAGACTCCTGGGAGATGATTTTGGGGGGACTCCGAGTCCATCACCTCGTCAGCATTCTGATTAAAAGCAACTTTCGTTTCTACCAAATTTTGCCTCTCTCAGGTATGAATTTTTGAGCAGCAAGCAGCCGGATCTGAGTTGGGTAACAGTTATAAGGGAAAGTTGGCTGCATTCTCTGCTGGGGAATAAAGACGATGTTGTTTGCCTGTCTCTGAATTTGGGTGAATAACTCCTTCCAATCCATTCTACTCTTTTGCTCTGTGTGTATGCTCATGAAACAACTCTGAATAATAATTCAGCTTCCCTGGTGGCTGGGAAGGAGGGTGGGGCACCCTGATTGTGCAGTGGAAACATTTGGGCCTGTGGAGGCTGATGTCCTAGTGACACCGAGCAGGGCCCTGTGGGCTCCTGGGCACGATAGCCTTTCCCTGTCCCCCATTTCTGGATTACAGGAAATAGGCTTCATTCCGCCTCCAGGACCTTCCCCGAGTTCCAAGGGCAGGTTCAAACAGTTGCTAATCAGGGAAAGGAGGGGATGCAGAGACCAGGGAGGAGCAGTCAGGAAACAATAGCGCAGCCTCGGGGCAGGGTCCTGGTTCCCCCTCAGGGGATGCACATAACGGAAAAGGGGGGTTGGGAGAAATTGGGAGACTGGGTTGACATATATGCACTATTGATACTATATATAAAATAGATAACTAATGAGAACCTACTGTATAGCACAGGGAATTCTACTCA